ACATCAACTTTAATTTTGTAGGGGTGTTAAAAAAGAAAGCCCCCCGTATATATATCCAAAAACAGAACTTCATAGTTCTTCAGCCACGTATTACAGTGAGGGAAAAAAGTATTTGATCCCCTGCTGATTTTGTACGTTTGCCCACTGACAAAGAAATGATCAGTCTATAATGTTAATGGTAGGTTTATATGAACAGTGAGAGACAGAATAACAACAGAAAATCCAGAAAAACGCACGTCAAAAATGTTATAAAATGATTTGCATTTTAATGAGGGAAATAAGTATTTGACCCCCTCTCAATCAGAAAGATTTCTGGCTCCCAGGTGTCTTTTATACAGGTAACGAGCTGAGATTAGGAGCACACTCTTAAAGGGAGTGCTCCTAATCTCATCTTGTTGCCTATATAAAAGACACCTGTCCACAGAAGCAATCAATCAGATTCCAAACTTTCCACCATGGCCAAGACCAAAGAGCTCTCCAAGGATGTCAGGGACAAGATTGTAGACCTACACAAGGCTGGAATGGGTTACAAGACCATTGCCAAGCAGCTTGGTGAGAAGGTGACAACAGTTGGTGCGATTATTCGCAAATGAAAGAAACACAAAAGAACTGTCAATCTCCCTCGGCCTGGGGCTCCATGCAAGATCTCACCTCGTGGAGTTGCAATGATCATGAGAACGGTGAGGAATCAGCCCAGAACTACACGGGAGCATCTTGTCAATGATCTCAAGGCAGCTGGGACCATAGTCACCAAGAAAACAATTGGAAACACACCACGCCGTGAAGGACTGAAATCCTGCAGTGCCCGTGAGGTCCCCCTGCTCAAGAAAGCACATATACATGCCCGTCTGAAGTTTGACAATGAACATCTGAATGATTCAGAGGACAACTGGGTGAAAGTGTTGTGGTAAGATGAGACCAAAATGGAGCTCTTTGGCATCAACTCAACTCGCCGTGTTTGGAGGAGGAGGGATGCTGCCTATGGCCCCAAGAACACCATCCCCACCGTCAAACATGGAGGTGGAAACATTATGCTTTGGGGGTGTTTTTCTGCTAAGGGGACAGGACAACTTCACTGCATCAAAGGGACGATGGACGGGGTCAAATCTTTGGTGAGAACCTCCTTCCCTCAGCCAGGGCATTGAAAATGGGTCGTGGATGGGTATTCCAGCATGACAATGACCCAAAACACACGGCCAAGGCAACAAAGGAGTGGCTCAAGAAGAAGCATATTAAGGTCCTGGAGTGGACTAGCCAGTCTCCAGACCTTAATCCCATAGAAAATCTGTGGAGGGAGCTGAAGGTTCGAGTTGCCAAACGTCAGCCTCGAAACCTTAATGACTTGGAGAAGATCTGCAAAGAGGAGTGGGACAAAATCCCTCCTGAGATGTGTGCAAACCTGGTGGCCAACTACAAGAAACGTCTGACCTCTGTGATTGCCAACAAGGGTTTTTCCACCAAGTACTAAGTCATGTTTTGCAGAGGGGTCAAATACATATTTCCCTCATTAAAATGCAAATCAATTCATAACATTTTTGCCATGCGTTTTTCTGGATTTTTTTGTTGTTATTCTGTCTCTCACTGTTCAAATAAACCTACCATTAAAATTATAGACGGATCATTTCTTTGTCAGTGGGCAAACGTACAACATCAGCAGGGGATCAAATACTTTTTTCCCTCACTGTACTTATAGTCGCAAAGCCCAACGCAGCAGAGCCTGAGTTTAGAAAAACGCTTCAAAAGGTTTGCTCAGTCGCATGAATCTCCCAGACATGACTTGAGAAATATCACAAAAAACAGCAGCTACGCCCTGAATTTGGTCTTGAAAGTTCAAGACGGATCTTACGCTGCAAGAACACGTGCCATTTCCTTGACGAATGCGATCGTCCCTGCGGTCAGGTGACTCATATTCATTCGCTGAGGTCAATACTTGACAAAGTGAAACAGAACATTTGATGATGTTTTTGTAAAAAAAAATTTAGGTGAGCAAATAACTCATGGGGACAATGATTATATGAAAACTGTGAATCAGCAAGGATGAGATCATAGGCTTTTTTTCTTGGTATTTTTTCCCCCTTTATATTCCTTCCTGATGCATTTTACTCCAAATGGAATTAAAGTCTCCACAAGGGACTTTCACTGAACGTCATCTGAAAAACCCTTCAAAGTAGCATTTAAAATGTTAAAACAGTAGACGCACTTTCTGCACACTCTGTGCTGAAAGAATGGCGATTGTGACATTCAGTCATTTCTATATTTTTCCATTCTCATTGCTTCATCATCAGAATGAATGTGAATTTTTTGTTTTTTCCTTGTGGTCGTTGGTGATCGGGCTGAGAAAAATGTGGACAATGGGAGGTTTTTTCAATGGATATATTAGGAGCTGCGTATAATACGAAGAGAGAGTAATAGGGTGGCGGATGAGAGGAATGTTATTGCATTTCGTATTTTTTAAAAAAAATATTTAGGTTAAATGGCTATATCTCAAACTCCGGGATGCCGTCAGACATACACACATACCAGAGGACCGACACTCGGGCGAACATCCTTTTTGCAGGGTGCGACAAAGCCAATCCAGCGTTGGGTCAGGGAGACTAATTGAAGGCACTCCAAGAAGTAGCTGCTATTATTCCTGGGCCAATTCCACACACGTGTCATCATGCGGCGGTGCTGCTGATGGAAGGAGTTGCGCAAGGATATTCTTTACCTCACAGTGTGGCTCGTTCACCACAATTGGGGATACAAAGTCAAAGGGGCTGCATGAACAGTAGCGAGCTAAAAACAAAACACACTCGCCACTTTCATCATAAACGCTGCTTTGTGTAACAGAATAATTTATTTAGAAGGCTGAAGTTTCAGGTAATAAGCCTTCTTCAGAGCAGAGGGAGATAGGGAGGTACAAAGATTGACTGTATTGAAGTTGGATATTACACTGTACACATGATTGGAATTTAACTGATAATATAATAAATTTAGGTAAAAACGATTAATCAAACGTGTTCACCGTTTACACGAAGTCATTTTAATCTCTGTAACTCTGAATATGACCGATTTATTGCTTATAAAGTGAAATAATTTCTCACGACAAGACCAAAAAACTAATGTTTGCCAGATAATTATCCTTTGAGGTAGCACACATGTATAAGAGTTATTCCTATAACACCTTGCTTATGTCAAAGAGTATGTTGTGAGGCTGCATTGTGCAGCAAGTTTAAATATTTTTTTGGGGGGGAAATCCAATTTCACAAACAGGCTCTAATGACTGATTGAACGGTCGCCTTTAATGGGCTAAACGAAGACTGTTATTTCGAAATGCCATGCGAATGCACTATAGCCATTTGCAGATCATTTTCACAAAGTGAGTAATAACAACGGATGCCTGGTTAATAAAAACAAAACTACCATTACTTTTCAAACTGTTTACACTTAGGAAGTGTGAGCCTTTGGAAAAAAAAAATGCAAAGTGGTGTCAAACGCAAGGCTCGGACGAAATCTGGGATTTCGCATTGTTTTATATATTTTTAAAAATTATTTTATTGTTTCCCTTCTACGTGACTTTACCGAAAGGACTACACTTTGTTTTGCACAAAGATGATGATTCTCCCGATCATTAACCTGGTGACATTGTCCATGCAATTTACTCAGTCCAAGATCCTATAAGTATGTTTTGCCCTCGGGAAGGTGACAGTGGACAACGTAATTAAGCCTTTACGCTTGCGGCTCTTTGGAACATTTTTTAAATGTGTCGCAGCAACAAAAAAAAACTGCCTGCAATGAAAATCGTGCTGAAATTGGAAAGATAATGCTATTGCTCTGGCTTCGGCTTCAACTTGCTAAGTCAGACGGTTTAAAACCGTTGGGTCACACTGCCACCACATATTTTTTGCGGGAAAGCGTGCATGGAAATGCGCCCGGACACTTCAGTGTTTGATTCCAAATGTGTAAAAGTCTCGTTGCTGCTTTGCAAATAAAATCAGCATCGCGTGAAAACAACAATAACAACACGGCAGTGTGCCGATGTGCTAGAGACCTTTGAGCACGATTCTAAGATACTCTGTGACAATTCTGGTGTTTCGGTTGATCTGCAACAAGCAACATTTGCAAGGATTTTCATCATAACCACAGCTATTACACTGCACATTAACATCATTGTCATCATCATTATCACTGCCCTACGCCTCATTGAAATCATGACGATTACATTATATCCACTGTGCTCTTTTTATTGTGGCACAGTCAATGTGTGATCGGCTTCAAAACAGCAATGGAAGCCCCTTTCCCTCACTACATCACTTATCCCGGTTGCGCTTTTGCCGTAGTGTCATGCAATGACTACATTTCCACTTAGAAATCTCCAGCGAGCAGTGCATCACCCTGTGTCAGAGAACGGCCCTTGAAGATGATATCAGAACTACTTCTGCAGTCATTTGAACCGGCATCTATCCGTATTGGGGACACACCTTTGATTGCACCTCCGATTAGCACGGCTGGCTACGTACGGTGCAAAAGAAGTTGAACGTACACACACGTATATATGTTCAAGAAAAAAGGTGTCCATAACAAGGCAATTAAATGAAAATGTTTAAGTTTCACAATTGGAACCTTCAATTTATGTATTTTTGTCTCGTCATTGGTGACTGGGCTAAGACCATCAACTTGCTGCACTTCAGAACCCAGTTTGAACGCGGGCGACTTCCCAGGTTTGAACCCAGGATCTCAGCTGTGCTCGCTCAGCACTCTGGACTACCGGGCCAACTTGGAGGAATAATGGCTTTGAGCTAGTCGTGTAAATTCCAGAATTCCAATGACAGGGAGCCATAATGACAGGGAGCATCCATAAGATGCCCAACACTGAATTGCCACAAAACGAGACTCATTTTAACCATCTCCAAATGGATGGTCAGCGGAGTTCACCTTGCACCTGGATTTGAACTTTTACGACCACAGAGGCTCTCAGCTAAACTTAAATTGCGTGCGAATTGCAAGTGGAAGACGCTTACCACCATGAAGGCCCAGTTGCCGATGTAGTACACGGAGCTGAAGAACCAAAACTTGTGCAGGAACAGGTACATGCGTGTCACGGTGCAATCATCTGCAAAGCAGAAGAACCAGCAAACATCATCGTGAGCAGAGTGGTGTCCATCATTCACTCAATGGTGTCAGTTTATAAACCATGATGAACGCTTGATACCGCTGAGGTTTGGAAAGGAAAGGGGCAGGAGAGCATTATGGGTGTAATTAGGAAGGGATGGTTTTTGCTGGGTTAGGGTACATGTGTGCGTGTATGATGGAGGAGAGTGGATTACTGAAACAGGCACTGGAGTGGCACCCAGATGCCAGCAACCAGGTAGAAGACCTGAAAGGCAGTTGGTGGGAGACTCTAAGAGCACACCTTGACATCTGGATGTGGACTGTGCATCAGTTCCTGGACCTTGCAGAGTAATGGAAACAATGGCCTGACTTAATTGTTCATCTTCCACTTTGAATGTGACCTTGAATTTTCCTCTCTCTACGTCAGGGGTCAGCAAGAAAATAACAAGAGCCATTTTTTCGAAATTGGTAGAACCTCAATATCTCAAGAGCTGCAATGCACGCGAATACGAGACGGACCTTAATAAAAACAACGTCATGAAGCAGTCCTTAAAGAGCCCGCAGGTCTCCGACCCCTGCTCTAGGTTGTGAAGACTGCCAGTAGATGGCAGTACAACAATGGGAGCAGTCCACGGAGTTATTTGGTCCACTCTCCAGAATGAGTTTATCTGGATTTACTATCTGTGTTCAGATGGCATCGAGCAATGTCTGAACGTATGGGGGGGGAGGGCGGGGACATCGGTACATTTTTGCTTCATTGTTCTCAGTAGCCTGTAGAGCAACTTGAGCCTCATGGGCTGCTGCCTACCAGTGGAATGGCTGAGGTCCTCGCTTTTAGGGCCACCAACGACAAGCCTGCTCGAAAAAGAATCCACTAGCCTCCCCATCACCTGGGGAGGGGCAAGGGGGGGGGGGGTGGAAGAGTCCATCCCCCTGTCCCCCCACCCCCTTATGAGTACTCATTATATTTATATTAACTATTTATTTTAATGCATGAGCTGAGAGTGCCGGACACTGGAATGGTGTTCCAATTGTAGTGGGTCAGTAACCAGGGGAGACACTAGTTGAGGCAACACGATATTTACTACTCTTTTCTACAGGGTCCCTAACACAAAGGGGTAGCGGCCCCTTTACCCAATACCTGGGGAGGTACGGCCTACGGGCTAGACTGCCCTAACACTGGGGACCCTGCTAATTCCCCGACCTCCGGCTGGGGCCCTAGGGGAGGCTATCCTGACCTGACCCTGTCCGGGTCGTTGGATCCTGACCACTGGCCTCACTGAGCTCAGGCCCTTAGAAGGACGACGGAGCTTGCAGTCCAGGGTCCGAGCTTCAGCCCAGGTCTTCGGAGTGGGGAGACTGGCCCTCTATCATTCAGAGGTCCGACTTATATACAGGTCCGGGGCTTGCTCCGCCCCGGCCCCGCCTCCCTTCCAGAACCTTCCACCAGGTCCTCCTTAACATAGGCGTAGCCACTCTTCCGCCCCCTGTTGAGCCAATAGTGACGCTACCCGCTGACAACATGGGGAGTGCGGAATAACACCTCTACACAATGTACACGACCAGAGCATGACAGTGACAACTGTTAGGAATAAACCTGTCCGACGAACAGAAGTATCATCCACATGTATGAACAACTGAAGATCTTTGGACATGTTCACAATGAACATGCGGGCAACGTAAAAGCGAATGGATGTCAATACAACAACATTGGGGAGCTGGCAAGTTTAAAAGTCTCCTATTTGTCACCTTGGTTGCACTACAGGGAGAATGTCACTTGGGGCAGGCTAATATGCGAGCATATATAAAAAAAAAGCCCTTTCTTTTCGCCAAATGTAAATGCAAAGTTCTTTACATTTCGCATGCTGTTCCATTTACGCAAACACCACACACCATACTTCCACCCCGATGGCTACTTTGGACAGAGTTATACATTTTCACCTCGCGTATCTTTTTTTTGCTCAAAGCAGCCGAGTTGCATGGAACACTTTGCAATGTCCACAGCGGTGCTTTAAGTGAGTTTGAAATACGAGGCTGTGAAACAGCTACGGGATGAGCTTAAAGAGATGGCAGCGCCATATTACTGAGTGTTGCTGTGTTCAGTTTGCCAGCCAGACGGATGGATGTGCAGGTCGTGATACGACACGCTCAGTGGGAGACCCGAGCAAGAAGGAAAATAAATAAAAATCCTTATTTGGTATTAGAGCCTTTGAAAACATGACACATTGGTAATAAGAGTGGATGTTAAAAGCTCAGAATTCGCTCTTAATCTTTAATGCTTTTGGACATTCAATACTATCCAATCTGGATTTATTAAGTGTCTAAATGAGTGGCAGTTTTAAATTGAGAAGGCAGTTGTTGCTGCTGCAGTGAAGAGAGCAAGATGCATGAAGAGCTTTAGTATGGGGGGGGGGGGTGGAGCCAATGCAGAATATTGATAACTTGAAAGCTTTTTTTCGAAGGGGTTTGAATATACAGGAGACTCAATTATCTGCGCTAATGACGAGGAGGACGGCCACGGATAAGTAAAAATTGCGGATAATCCAAAAATATCGATTTTCCACAGAGCTCTATGCCAAAAACCACTAATATAGGTAAAATGAAAACTCACAAAATAAATGATCGGACAAATAGCTCAAAATGAAGCACAATGGACGACTTCAATTGTTACTCTTTCGGCTTAGAACAAATGCTAACGATCGACCGATCGAAGCACGTGCTCAGTGATAACACTTTCCTGCTCCCGGCCAGAAGAATCGGCCCACTATGTGGACAGCAATCAATCAAACTCCACCCACTGTTGTAAAGATATGCAACGACTGTACTGCAGTGGCAGTCACGTGGATTTCAGATTAACCGGAGCACGTATTTGACCGGATTAAGCAAGTGAATTGTTATAAACATTTCCAAGAATACTCTTTGGGTCTTTCGGCCAAGTCAGGCAGATAGAAAGTGACGCAGATGGAAAGTCGCGCAGATATAAAGTCGCGCAGATAGAAAGTCACTCAGATAGAAAGTCACGCGGATAGAAGGTCACTCCGATAGAAAGTCACTCAGATAGAAAGTCACGCGGATAGAAAGTGACGTAGATGGAAAGTCTTGCAGATAGAAAGTCACGCAGATAAAAAGTCACGCAGATAAAAAGTCACTCGGATAGAAAGTACTCAGATAGAAAGTCACTCGGATAGAAAGTCACGCGGATAGAAAGTCACTCCGATAGAAAGTCACCCTGATAGAAAGTCACGTGGATAGAAAGTGACGCAGATAGAAAGTCGCGCAGATAGTAAGTCACGCAGATAGAAAGTCACGCAGATAGAAAGTCCTACGCAGATAGAAAGTCACTCAGGTAGAAAGTCGCGCAGATAGAAAGTCACTCAGGTAGAAAGTCACGCAGATAGAAAGTCACTCGGTTAGAAAGTCACGCAGATAGAAAGTCACGCAGATAGAAAGTCACCCAGATAGAAAGTGACGCAGATAGAAAGTCACGCAGATAGAAAGTGACGCAGATAGAAAGTCACTCAGATAGAAAGTGACGCAGATAGAAAGTCACTCAGATAGAAAGTGACGCAGATAGAAAGTCACGCAGATAGAAAGTCACGCAGATAGAAAGTCACTCAGATAGAAAGTCACGCAGATAGAAAGTCGTGCAGATAGAAAGTCACGCAGATAGTAAGTCACGCAGATAGAAAGTCACGCAGATAGAAAATCCTACGCAGATAGAAAGTCACTCAGGTAGAAAGTCGCGCAGATAGAAAGTCACTCAGGTAGAAAGTCACGCAGATAGAAAGTCACTCGGTTAGAAAGTCACGCAGATAGAAAGTCACCCAGATAGAAAGTCACTCAGATAGAAAGTCACCCAGATAGAAAGTCACGCAGATAGAAAGTCACACAGATAGAAAGTCACGCAGATAGAAAGTCACCCAGATAGAAAGTGACGCAGATAGAAAGTCACGCAGATAGAAAGTCACTCAGATAGAAAGTGACGCAGATAGAAAGTCACCCAGACAGAAAGTCACGCAGATAGAAAGTCACCCCGATAGAAAGTCACCCAGATAGAAAGTGACGCGGATAGAAAGTGACGCAGATGGAAAGTCGTGCAGATAGAAAGTCACGCAGATAGAAAGTCACCCAGATAGAAAGTCACGCGGATAGAAAGTCACTCAGATAGAAAGTCACACAGATAGAAAGTCACGCGGATAGAAAGTCACTCCGATAGAAAGTCACCCTGATAGAAAGTCACGTGGATAGAAAGTGACGCAGATAGAAAGTCACCCAGACAGAAAGTCACGCAGATAGAAAGTCACCCCGATAGAAAGTCACCCAGATAGAAAGTGACGCAAATAGAAAGTGACGCAGATAGAAAGTCACGCAGATAGAAAGTCACTCAGATAGAAAGTCACTCAGATAGAAAGTCACCCAGATAGAAAGTCACGCAGATAGAAAGTCACCCCGATAGAAAGTCACCCAGATAGAAAGTGACGCAGATAGAAAGTGACGCAGAAAGAAAGTCACTCAGATAGAAAGTCATTCAGATAGAAAGTCACTCAGATAGAAAGTCACCCAGATAGAAAGTCGTGCAGATAGAAAGTCGCGCAGATAGAAAGTCACGCAGATAGAAAGTCACTCAGATAGAAAGTCACGCAGATAGAAAGTCACGCAGATAGAAAGTTACTCAGATAGAAAGTCGCGCAGATAGAAAGTCACTCAGATAGAAAGTCACACAGATAGAAAGTCACGCAGATAGAAAGACACTCAGATAGAAAGTCACACGGATAGAAAGTCACTCAGATAGAAAGTCACGCAGATAGAAAGTCACTCGGATAGAAAGTCACTCGGATAGAAAGTCACCCGGATAGAAAGTCACTCGGATAGAAAGTCACGCAGATAGAAAGTCACGCAGACAGGAAGTCACACAGATAGAAAGTGACGCAGATAGAAAGTCACACAGATAGAAAGTCACGCAGATAGAAAGTCACTCAGATAGAAAGTCGCGCAGATAGA